GTGGAGAAACACTGATTTAGATTGCTATTCGCTGTAGCTGCACTGCTAATATTAGGTGGCCCACCTTATTTCATTGTGACAGTGTAACAATTGCCATCTTTTTCTCCTTGCAACAGATAATAACAATAAGGACTTCAGAAACAATTGCAAAATAGCCTTCTGGGTCAGACCTTGCTTCCCATTAATGTGAAGGAGAGCATTTGCTTTGTTTTGGTTTTCGGTCATGCTGGGAAATCAGTTCTCAGTACCATGTATATATTTATTTAGTGGAGTTTGCACCCCTGCCTGGAAAACTAAAAAATAGATTTCTTCTGGCTCTGTGTTGCTGTTGTTTTACTCCTGCTGGTTTTTACTGCTGTTTTGTAAAGTTGTTTCAATGCTGGCCTGTGGTTCAGGAATTTGCAGCATTTGGTTTCACAATGAAGAGGGTTGCACAAGCGCCAGCCCGTGCACGTTTTAGAAGAAGATACACGAGGGAAATGTGGTTGGCTTCCTTAAATAGGATTTGCCCTTGTGTGAGGACTTCTGATTTTTATGTTTTACTTTTTTTCCTGATGTACTTTGTTAGTAAAAGGGATTGTAATTGTCAGGCTGTTGATCTCAAAAGCAAGCGTACGCACGTCTGCCTCCAGGATGAAGATGCTAGAAGGACTGATTACAAATGTGGCCGCTTGTTAGCAGCCTCTTTGCAGAAGCATTTTTTAAACAATCAGAAGCAGACAAGATTTAACTTGATCATAAACAGCATTCCTTCAAAATAGATGTTTCAGACAGGTATATGAAGATTTGCTGTTCCCTGTAGCCTATTCATTCTCACTAGAAAGAAATGGATTCAGTAAGATGGGGAAAAGATCATACTGTATAAATGATATATACAAATTGTATGCATTCTGTATTCTTTCTCATAGTCTTATCTGCATTTTAATATGGGTGATTTACATAGGTATCAGATTTATTGCTAACTATGGTTTGGTGCAATCCCAAGGTTGCCATAATGGCCAAGGATTAAGGCTACTTTACTGCAGCATGCTTAGTGCAAAAATGGATGTACATAAAGGTGTAACTGGAGGGAGCTCTGAAACAAAAGAAGAGGGGAGACTATATGGGGAGAGTGTTGGAGAAGATAGGAGTGCAAAGCCCCCAATTTCCTAAACACAGATGAACCATATTATTACATCTGCTTTCTAGGCAATATGTATTAGTAATTTTTATTAGGGAAGTATATTGGATCCCAGCTAGGTTCCAGCATGGACAGTCAGACCTGATTAGCCCACTAGGAAATACCACTGCTGTAGACTAAACTAGAAAGTAAAAAAAAAAAAAATCCAGAAGATAATTTTATGTAAAATTACATTTAATGCATTGTGTTTTTATTTAAAATTGCTGGTATATTATAAATTGCTGCTCTAATTGTATACTGCTTGGAGTCATTCTGACTGAAGTGGTATATAAATCTTATCCATCAGTAACTGGCAAACTACTTCACTGTTGTTACCAAGAGAACTACATGGGTATGTCCAAGCAGTCACCAGGAGTTGCCCTCAACTCAGATAAGTCTTTTCCTTTTATGCCTGGAACAGGACTAGGGCTGTACACAAAACATTCCCATTCCAACCCCCGAATGGGCTGTTCTGAGTGATGCAACCTCAGAGCAAGGCCAATTTGAGGTCACACCATTTCTGGAATATTTTGAATGAACCCTTCCCTAAGTAGGAAAACAAGTTTTGGGGTTGGAATATTGTGTAGCAGAACATGGGTGCCCCTCTACTTGGTGCTAAGATCACTCTTGGATATTTTTACACAAACAGAGTCGTTGGGAGTCGGGCAGCATACAAATTTAGTAATTTGGAACATTACTGAATATTGATTCCAAAATCATTGGAATCAGAGGTGGGTGGGTAGAATGGGCGCATGGGACATGCTCCACTTGCCTCTGTGCCCTCATTCGATATGGTGGGCTCTGCATACAATGATCTGCTTGGCTCTACTTGTGGGGAGCCCAGCCTCCATCCCACCAGGACATCTGGGGTCAAGTATGGAGGCAGCAACATCGATGCTTATAGAAGCAACTGTAAATGGCTGCAAGCACAGGGTATGGTGTCCTTTGGCCTGTAGAGCAGGGGCTCTTCTAATCTACAGCCCTTCCCTAATGAGACACTGAGATAATTTTTTTAATTTACCAGCCTGATGTTCTGCTTTGAGGCAGACTGCATAAAAGAATGAAAAATGCAGCCCCTGTCTGTTCACTGCTGCATTAGCAATCTATGTTTCAGTGTTGTGTTGCCATGTTAGGCTTGATCCGCCCTTTGCTATTACAGTATATTTACGCTCCTATTTCAGAGGGACGGCTCCCATTCATTGAGTATATTTAATTTCTGCTCCGCCCATCATTGCTGTGGTCATGCAGTTTGGATGTTTCCAAGTTATTCACTCGGTTGCTTGGCTACGGATTTAGGCCACTCCCATTGACTTTCTTTTTCCTGTTCATCCAGGGTGTGTGTTTGCATGTGTGCACGTCTGTGCATGATTTATCCCAGATCTTTGTAGAAGTCCTGCCTGGAATCTCAACCTCAATCTCAACCTTCTGTTCCATAAAACTCACAGAATTGGTCCCTCCAGCTCACGTGCGAGGGAGTGCTTCGTCGAGCCATGCCACCTCCAGTTGTCACTCTGACTGGTTGTTCTCTCTTTTTGTGTTCTTTCAAGCAAAGCAATTCAGCAGTCAGGCTTAAAGAAGATATGAAAAAGATTGCCGTTCCGCTCCCGAGAAGACCGAAGGGGACCTGTAGCCGGAAGTTGTTTGGCACTGGTCTCCAGGAAATGCAGCAGGAGGGGCTGAGCAAGTGTGGAATCCCAACCGTGGTGTGGGATATTGTAGAATATCTGTCTTGGCACGGTAAGCTACTAGCAGAGTCCTTCTCTTTAAAAAAAGAAAAAACTTGTGTACTTCTAAGGCAGCATTCCTCAACCTTGGCAGCTTGATGATGTGTGGACTTCAACTCCCAGAATTCCCTAGCCAGCATAGCTGGCTGGGGAATTGTGGGAGTTGAAGTCCACACGTCTTAAAGTTGCTGAAGTTGGAAAACACTGGCTTACAGCAAAGGTGAGTGAGAGAGACACAATTAAGGTATGTTAAATCACCCATGACTTAGAGAAAGTAGAGAGAGAGTTGTTGCTGCTGTTTTTTGAAAAGAGATTGAGAGCCGACAGACTGTTTATTCACATTAACCTGTGGAATTCATCACACAAGAGGTGGTGATAGCTAGCTTTAAGATGTGGCAAATTTAAGATTTAAGACTTGAATCTTAAGTTATCTTGAAGACCCAACGTTAACTCCATGCTCCAAGTACCAGTTGCAGGGAAGCCATGGTTTGAACAAGTTATGCTTCCAGGTCCTACTTCTGAGCCCACAAGAAACATTTGATTGGCCACTGTGAGTGGCTGGCCTTGGCTTGATGCAGTAAGGCTGTTAGGCTATCTTCTCCTTCAGATATGTAGAACTACAATTCTAAGGTTCTCCTGCTGGCTGTGAAAATTGGGAGTTGCATGCCCAGCACATATAAAAGATACAAACTTAGGAAACCAGAGATGCAAGAAGAAGGATTCCCAGAGAATCAACACTGGCATGGCACAGCCTTAACTGAGTTTAGGAACCAGCTACTTAACAAGGGAAGTTTCTGTTTACTGAATTCCTGCATGCATCTTTTTCATTTCTCCTCCTGTTCTCAGGAAGGTGATGTCAAAATAATGATACAACAATCTGAACACTTTTTTATTTTTTAGTTAAGTTGAAATAACACATTGGGGGCGCATGCTGCTTTTCAAAATGCCCTATATTCTTCCCTCCCTCACCAATTTATTATATTCTGCTTTGAAAAAGGGGTTTTCTTGGGAGTAGGCTGGGGGAGTTGAAGGGGCTCTGCAGCAGCATGTAAACTACTCAACTTCTGATTTTACTTAGAACAGCACCATCCAGATGTGTTGGATTGCAATTCCAAGATTTCCCAGGCAGCTTTTCAGATAGAATTCTAGGATTTGCAATCCTAACACATCTGGATGGTGCCAGGTTAAAGAAGACAAATCAAATTTGTCTTTTACAGTATTTTCGTGTTTTATGTGTTCTATGGTTTTTATATTTTTAAAGCTGCACTGGGGTGGCATTTAATTTCGTTGTGCAAGTAGTACAATGACAATAAAGATTACTTTGACTTTGACTTTGTCCAGCAGATGGCAGTGTAGGATTTCTGGAAATTCTGAATATTTTTTTTTTTCTTGACTCTGCAATAATTAGCATATCTAGGGCTTCTTATATTAACCTTGTTAGATGGGACATTATAACCATACCCAAATGGCTGATGGAATGGAATTGAGAGGTTGTAGCTTACTTAATGAATGTGTAAGTCAAGCGGGATTTGAACACTGGACTTTGCATCTTAGAGGCTGTTCTTGACCTCTGCCCTTTGCTCCAGTATATTGTGTAATAAATATACTCTGATTACAGAAGTGTCAAGCACTATTCTCAGAGCAGTGTGTTTGGGGATATTCCTCTTTCCTTAACTGTAGTTCTTTTGGAGATCTGGGCCAATGGAAAGAAGCTATCTTCTTTGAAGGCTCATTCCGTAATGCCGATTATGCTAACCTCCTGCCTGCAGTTTTTTTTACCAATGGGACATTAAAAAATGCAATTGCTACTGTCCATCCTCACAAGCCGGTCCTTTAGGGTTCATACTGGATGTATAGCCTGGACTTCAAGTTCTGCTCCAGAAAGATAGGAGGAAAGCTGGTTTTATGAGTTTCACGTCACTTGCTCTGCCCATATTTGCATTGTTCTGCATATTTTTAATGCAGGCCAGGGGACCTGCCAATGGTCTTGCCTATTTCATGTGTATAATTACAGGTCTCAAGCAGGAAGGTCTTTTCAGGGTGAATGGGAACCTGAAAACAGTGGAACAGCTGCGTGCGAAGTATGAGAGTGGAGATCAAGTAGATCTTGCTGCAGAGGGCGACATAAGCTCAGCAGCCAGTTTGCTGAAGTTGTTTCTGCGGGAGCTGCCAGATCGGGTGATCCCTTCTGCCATTTACCCCAAATTCATCCAGCTTTATCAAGGTGATGATTTTTCCCCAAACATACATCCTGTACCTATTACTTGTGTGGTCCGCTACTTTTACAGGTTTTGTTTTTTAATAATACGTATTGTTGCTTCTGACAGAATAGATGCAGTTATTTTTTAGAAACCCTTTGCAGAAATGGTATGACATATTCATCACCTAAAATAATTCATATTCACAGGAAAACAAAATCATATGGGTGAATAAGTCTATACTATATATGGAAATTTAATTAAATAGAGTGATTGCTTTGGACTAGCCTATTTTGAATATTGCAGATTAAGAAACCAAGTAGCTCCATGGTGAAGCAGATAAATTACATTTGGAAGACCCTAAGTGAGTTCCCTTGTATTTCCACACAGAGTTTGAAAGGAAAACATTATCATTTTTGGAGAATTGAGATCTGTTTGTGTGAACTGTTCTGTGTGCTAGGTGAACTGACTTGTTCATTTTACTCATACTTCACATTAAGCTATGTTTGCTTATTTATAGTTTATTGAATATTCCACAGTTGGCTGGTTTATGCAGTTTTGGAAGCAATAAGGCATAACTTAGAAAATAGTCGTTGAGCCGCATATGTTAAACTGCAGACAATCCAACTGAATTACAACATACTACAGTATGTAAGTTCTTGACTTACAACCATTCATTTAGCAACCATTTGAAGTTACAAGCGCACTGAAAAAAATGACTTACAACAGGTCCTCACACTTATGACTGTTGCAGTGTCTCCACGGTCATGTGATCAGAATTCGGGTGTTTGGCAACTGGCAAGTATTTACAATGGTTGCAGTGTCCCAGGGTCACATGATTACCATTTACGACTTTCTCAGGGGGCTTCTGACAAGCAAAGTTAATGGGGAAACCGGATTCTCTTGACCACTGCGGAAAAAAGATTGTAAAATTGGTTGCAACTCACTTAACAACCACATCACTTAGTAATGGAAGTTCCAATCCCGATTGTAGTTGTAAGTCGAGGACTACCTGTATACCCTTTTGGTGGCTTAATTCACACTGTACTAAAACATGATTGGTTTTAACCATAGCTATGCCACAGTGACATGGTTCTGAGGCATATGCCATAGTTCATCAACTACAATGGCTACTAAGACCAAACCAGACCAGTCATTTTAAGGCATAGCCAGATGCTTCCATGTAGAAAGCATTAAATTAATCTTTATTTTTCTACCGATAGAGAATTATTTTCTAGGAAAGAGCACGCAGTTCTTTTAAAACTAGTACAGTTTGAACATGGATTCTTCATCCTCATTCTAACAGGGCAAAACACGTCACTGCTCAGTGAATCCCCTCCCTCCCTTCCTTCCTCCCTCTTCTTCAAATGCATTAAAAGATTCCTGTATTTAATTTGCGAAACATTGAATTGTTTACATTGAGGCTACAAATGGCTGCTCTCTCACAATCCATAGTCAAGCACAACCTTGCAGTAAAAATGGCCTTCTTAACTGCTATTCTTGGCTGTCTTGTGGTTCAGTTTTCAGTCCTGTTTGTCCCTTGAACTCAGGCTTGTGTTTTGATAAAATCAAGGTTACAAATGCAATGTTTGTTTCCATAAATACTTACCACTCAACAAAACTTTGTTTTGTATTGCACTATCCAAGTAATAACAATAAAGGAACATTTGCTCATGTACTGTTTACAGAAAAAACAAACAGTCATTTAGGAAGTGGGTTAGAGGGCCAACTGTGACTTTTCCAGCATGAAGCTAAAAGTGAAGAAGAAATACTATACTATACTGAAGAAATGCACAAATGTACAAGCTGTGGAAAATCAAATGACCTGTGCTCCTTCTCTATGCAAATTCCTTTTCAGACATAGCAAGACAGATTTTGTTGCGATGTCTGAATCCTTTAAAATCTCAATTTTCATCAATGGCCCTGGTGGCTGGGGCACCCTCAGAGTAGAAGTCTGCACATTAGGAGGGTGCTCAGGTTGGGAAATGCTGAACTAGATGAACCATTGGTCTGACCTGCAGGGTTCCTACCATGGACGTCTGCAGGATTGTCCTGCTTTTGTCCAAATGATGACAACAATGTCATGCTGCAAGTTCCATCGCTCTCAGGTGTGCGTGCAACATCACAACCCACATAAGAAAAGAGTAGGACTTCTTGCACAACACCACTTTTATCATTCTATCCCCCCTTACCGCCCCCAATGCAGACACCACTCCTTTGTTTGTTTTTGGCAAAACACAGTGTGATGTGCAAACCCAGTCATCTCAGGTTAGTGTTCTATGGGAGGCCAGGCTAGAATAGCTTTTTCAGCAAATCAGGGTTAAGAAATCTTGGCTTAGTTTTAAGTGTGAACTGGACCAGAATAATGCACTTTCATATTTTCGTAAGGATACATGCATCCTCCTTTTCTTCACAGTTTAGAAAAAATGACTTTTTTTCCATTGTTGGACTGGTCTTATTTTCTTGAGGAAGAGCCAAATACAAGTTGCAAACATGTAGGTTACTTTAAGGATACCAGGGTCAGGTTGGCACACAGTGCTGGTTGCTTTTGCTTAGCGTATCGTATGAACCAAATGAGTATTTGTTTATCAAATTTGTACGCTGCCCAACTCCCAACAACTCTGGGAGGCTTGGCATTTGTGTGAACCAGACCGTTGTGACTTGTTCAAACCATTATGGCTTTCAAATCCTGGCTTTGTATAATGCATGCATCAGACCAGTGTTCTTCACCACTACAATAAATTGTCCAGTGATGAATTTATTAATAATAGTACAAAGACTCAATTATGAGCCTTGGGATCCAATCTCTTTCATAAGGAAGCAGGTTTTCTGGCTATCTGCCTGATTAGGAAATACTTTGAACAGCTAATTGCTTCTTACAATCTCCTGCTGACTTTTCAGCTGATTTGGTATTTTTCCATTTTAACAAAAACCCTTTAGAATTTTGTGGAAAACCAGCAAGATACTAATCTTTTTCAAGATAGAAGTACTTTGTAGTCAAGGTAGCTATAATCATACTGTTCATATTGAAGAAGCGGACTCCTTTTCATTTAACAAATTATCCTACACTGTAGAACAGTAGAAGAGAGAGATATACCACAATCATTCAACTCCCACTTTGATTGTCACTAACCCAACTTCTCCATTCATGGCTTAAAAGCACAGGAACATGCTATGAACTTGAACTTTTCTTTCTTCCTCTGTTTTGTATGTGTGTTTCTCTAACCCTAGTTTGGCATGACATTTGAGCTGGCAAGTTACAGCTAACCCATACTGCACAATCATGGTTTGAAGATGATTTGCAGGCTATAGTTTAGAGACAAGATGCTAAGGAGGTTCAAATGTCATATCAAACTACAACTGGAGAAAAACAGAAGTGGGGTGGAAAAAAATAATGTGAGAAGCATCTTGACAGTCTTTAATATATTCCCAAGGAGTTTTACAGCATTTTAAAGAGAAGGATGGGAAACATCTAGTGAGGGTTAAAATCAGATGAAATTGCCTTTTTCAAAATCAGACCTTGAATTGTCTAGATATGTGCCATGTAAGTCAACCAGTTATAGGCCATTTGGTCTCTGCCTACTAAGCTTTTTGTCCCCATTTAACTTTATTAAGGAAGCTGGTATTCCTCAGAGCCTCCAGCATTTTCTTATTTCCAAGAATGCCACTGTGTCATCCTAGGAATTATTGGGAAATATAATGGTGGTTGGCTGTAGCCCGGTGCTGTGTTTAGAAGTGAGCCCATCCACCTGAAAAAAAAAAAGACAGTCTAAGATGATTGGTACCATCCTGATGGACTCAGGGTAATTGATGGAGAGGAAACTCACCACCTTGTCTTCTGGCAAATGGGTCTTTTAACAGCTGGCCACATTCAGTAACGTGGCCATTTTTGAAAGGCTTAGGACATGCTCTCAAAATTCAAAATAAAAAAGATTCAAACATTTCCTGTGGCTTGCAACTATGCATGACCCGTCCTGTTTTGTAAGTTATGAATTCCTTCATTCACACCCCAATTCTTTCCTCCTTACTCACATTAGTTGCTCAGGATGATAAATGGAGCTTTCCCTACAGAAAAGGACAGGTGCAATTCTTGGTACCTCCTATTTTTTAAAAAGAAAAGAATGTAAGAGCAGGTGATGTAAAAGAACTTTGCCTGAGACTAGAAAGAGTAACTGAACTAGTGCTGGGCTGATGAATTTGTAGTTTTGTTATGGAACTTCCTTGGATGATAATCTTCACATTACTATCCATTCATTTTTATTTTTTTTTAGTTTAATACTGCTTCATTTCTGCTACTTTTGTTTGACTTGTACCACAGAATAGGCATAGCCTTGCATATCATGTTTTCTTTCTCTCTTTACAGCCAGCCAGAAGTATGGTCTGGAGACTAATGAGTTAAGAGACCTTCTGATGCAGATGCCTGAGACTCACTATTGTCTCCTTAAGTATCTTTGCTACTTCCTGAAAAGGGTTGCTGAGCATCACTCTGAGAACAAGATGACTATTTCCAACCTTGCTACTGTTTTTGGACCAAATTGTTTTTGGTAAGCTCTTTCCTAAAACAAACTCCAAGTTTGGAGCCAAAAATAGCTCAGGATTCAGAGCCAAATACTAAGCAAGCAACTAGTAGTAGTGTTTACTAGGGGGAAAAAAGGAGTAGTCATGTTCTAATGGATATACCATTAGAATCAATTTGAATCTAGGACAAGTTGGACTTCATGTGTGAGGGATGGGAAGAAGATACTAATCATTATGATCACAGATCTTTTTCAGATTTTCTTTGCCCCAGACAATACAGAATTGAAAATTCCTTGAAAATATGAAGTAGACATGATAGTTCGATTCAGTCGCAATAAATTAAAACTGGATGAGAAGGTTGTTTTTTCAGGCTGGTTTTTATTCTGGATGTTATTCCTCAACTGGTTGTATGCTTGCATTCTCAGATATATTGTGAGCTAGCTTTGTATGTGAGCTAGCTTCATACAAATGTGAAGCTAGCTCACATACAAAGTCAGTCATTTTTATTTTCTGCACTTAACTATTGCACACTTGAAGGCCACCTGTTAAATCTGACTCTTTTGAAAAGGACCTTCGGTCAGCAAGCTAATGTGAACATTTCAAGTGTTGTGTGTTGTTTCTGTGATGTTCCATGTATGTATCCATTATCACCTTTGGATGCTCTGGTCATCAGATTAATAAATCTGTCTGTCTGGTCAAACTTTGAGCTCCCAATAGATTAGCAAACTCAGACAGTGTTTTAGGAACATGAGTCTCTTTGGAACAGGACTTGTAAATCTCATAGATTGGGAATCATGTGTCAGTACAGTTCTTGGAAGAACCCATGGAAATGAACCAGTCAAAGCTGGGAAAGGGCACCCACTTTTTTTCCCAGAATATATTCATTTTTTTATTGAAATTATTGCACAAACATTCCGTAATAAATGCATACTTAGCTAATGCGTTTGAGTCATAAAGTACAGAGATTATCACAGATACAGAAGCTTTGAAAAAACATAAGCAATTTAGAATGAGCTACTTAGGATTTGGAGAGAAACTTTTTAATATTAAAAGTTAGGGCTATACATGTTTTGGAAGTGATTCAGACCTCATGTGAGCACAGTACCACTCTGCTGTTCATTAAAACAGCCTGTCTTCTTCAGCTTCTGAATGAGTCTGAAAAAGGATGCTGCTGATTTAAGAAGTCGACTCTTAAAACTTAATTCAAAGTCCTATTCAGCTTAACAAATACTAAAATTTAATTACTTCTTTATACTATTTAATCCTATAAGACTCCACTAATACGTATTTACAATCATGTTAAATTAACATTTTAAGATGGAACATTAAGTCATATCATGTTTTAAAATCTTGAAATAATATAGACTAGATTATTATAATTTACAGCTCCTTTCAATAATACCATTTTCTCCTAGACCAGTGGCCCATAGAACATTGTTAATGCCCCAGATGACTCTACTGTTGTTCATTGAGACATTAAGATGCTGGCTTGTATTGTGTTCATAGGCAGTGCACAGATAACTTCAGAGATCTGTCTATTTTTAGTAGGCAGGAATGTATGGTAACTCTAGCCTTTTATTCTTTTCATTTCATTGTGCAGTACCTAAACAGTGCAGCCAAATTTTTAAAACGCCTTTTGCCACTGAGGTCCAAAACTTTTAAATAAAACAGTACTGTAACAGGATCCTTATAACTAGTTAAATATCAGGCATGCCATTTACAACTTTGTGTTTCGTGATTTTTGAGGAAGGTCCCATAGTTCAGTCTTAAAGCATGTTTATAGTATACAGACAATTCCAGGATCACATTTTCCCTCCCTAGCTGAAAGAATCCCCAGTTGTAGGGCTGACTTAGGGGTAGGGAGCCCAGAGAATCACTGCTAGCCAATGTACAAAATAGTATGCTAGTGTAGAGAGCACAGGGAATGGCCTTGAAAGTCAGGAGGAAGAGCCACTACTAAGGCAATGATCAGACAAGTGCCATTTCAAGAAACGAATTTGAGTAAACATCTCAGACAAGCCCTTCCCTAATTCACAACCAAGATAAAGGGAAAGAGGAGGGAAGCACATTCCGATTTGCAAGAGTCTGTTATTACGTATAACTGTTACAATAAAAGTAGTCTTGACTTATATGGCATTGGTTTCTTAGTCAGGTCTACCTGATATTGCTGACATCTACCTGGCTAATGGCCTGGTTGATCTCGTGTGTCTAGCAGTGGTGTTTTGTGTCAAAAATGTGTGAACTTTCAAGCGCAAGCACTTCAGAGAGGAAAATGGGATGTTTTAAAGTATTATATTAATTATATTATATTTTAAAACATCCAATTTCCTATATTATATTATTATTATATTATATTTCATTTCATTTCATTTCATTTCATTTCATTTCATTTCATGGGCATCTGACTCCAAAACAGCTGTGAGTGGTTTACCTTTTAAAAGATTCATATTCATCACATCCCTTTCCTTGTCATTTGAATCAGACTTAAAATGGCTATGCCAGAGACATATTACAGTAGTTAAACTTGTGCTATGGTAAGGACATATGATATGCTAGGGTGATTTAGGCACTCTGTTCGTTTGAATCTGTGTTTATGAATAAACTGCAGTGATTTATACATTGGTTGGTTCTCCTGTGATTATGCATTAAGGTGGCTCTTTTGTTGGCACTGTATTTATTTTAAGAGTCAGGCAATGTCCATTTTGCCTTTGTATGAATGCAGTTGTAGAATACAGAAACAATAAACCCTATATTCTGACACAAAGAACCAAGCTCCGAGAACCCCCAGGACTCCACAGTTCAACCCTGAGCTACACATATTCACCTCTATTGTTACAAAAATTGCAATATTTATATTATCAGGATGCTCTTAGAAAAATAATAGCTATTTCCTCCTTGTGGATTTCCATTGGCTCCTCTCTTTGTTAAATTAAGTTTCAGTGAAGTTAGAATTCCTTTACTCCTTTCATACTCACTAAAACAAGAACCTTTTTCTTTGAGCTATTTTGATGCTACTCTTAGTAAGTTTGTTTGTTCCTTTTCTTTACCCCTTGTAATGGTCTTTTTCCTTGACCCCTGTGATTCCTTGTTTACAATCCTGAGGAATTTGAAGAAGGTTGAGCAGTGGGCAGCAATGAAAAATCTGTCAGGGACTTTATTTGTGCAATAGGCAAATAGGGTTGTTGCTCATGTTTTGATATTTTCTGGCACTGGCTTCACTTTTTTTTTTAAATAAGAAGCAAAGAGAAATGTTGATAGAGTTTAACTTGATGCCTTCTTTATTCCCAGTTCCTCTAAGTGAAATACTTCCAGGTGGACTTTTGCAAGATTTCATGTTTTGGCAGCTTGCTCATTCAAACAGTGATCAAATAACTCAGTGATGGAAGACTTGTTTTGAATAGCTTGGATTTCAGGATCTTAGGCAGAAAGGTTGGAGGAGAACCTGGAGAGCAGTTCTCAGTTAGGAAGTAATCAACAGTGAATGACATGCACCCATGGTGTTATTCATTTTAATGCAGCCTCATGCCTTCAACTATTTATATAGAAGTCTATGTTAAATAAGCAGAAGATAAACCCACCTTCAAACCCAACCTAGGACTGAAAATTGTATTATTTATTTGTTTATTTTTATATAAACCTATTAATTACATTCTCTTCTTGCAAAACTATAATTGTAGTTTTTAGACCTTACATTACAAGAGGCCAATGTTTGCTTTGAGTGTATGTGACAAAATCTCTGGGCAAATGAAATAATGAAATTATTCAGGAAAAGAAGTAATTTAATGGAGTAGGATGCAACTCTCTGGTTTTAGAAGCAATCTATTTCTATGTCAATAATTAGAGATAGTTATCAGAGCTGATTTAATGGGTTATGTAATGACCAGATTTCTTGAGAGGGGGCAGTTAAAGGTAAGATTTAAGAAATAAAGCAGTATGACTGGAAAAGAAAAGAATGGTGGTGTCTCAGAATCTGGAATGTGGGTTAAGCACCAGAATACAGTGGGGACAGTACTTAGAGGAATGGTCTTGGAGAACAAGTGAATCACTCGTTAAATTTCATGCTGAGCTGAAACCCACATGGGCTGCATACCTAAATGAGAAGAAATAAGTGGCTTCTGTACTGAAGGGTAGGTCTGGGTTATCATACTAATGTCAGTCCCTTGCTTATGTTGTTTGGGCTCAGAAGCTAAGCAGGATTGGATCTCATGAGTGCTTGGATGGGAGACCTTGAGGGAATATTAAGACTGTAGGCAAGATGAGGAAATCGAAAAATCCAAAAAGAATTGGATTTTTCCAGTGGCAAATCACTTCCATATTGCTGCCAAGAAAGCTACATGGATATGTCCATGAAGTTACTAGCAGTTGAGCATGCTCTGAAGGAGTCTTTACTTTCACTTCTTACCAGGGATACAAATCATTTAGTTGCTGTGCCAAGGATGGGACAAGGCAAGCTAATAATAATGTAATCATTTGTCAGAATGAAGCCTTATCAAGGGATAGACTTGGAGATAATATCTACTTAGAAACCAGTAGATATGCACAGCAGTA